GTATTCAAATTGCAAATTGTTTTATCGACATTAATTTTAAAAAAAACTAATAAAAATCGAAAAATTAAAAATTCAATATACCTATCTATAAATAACTCAACATGAATCAAAATAATTTTTCAGTTTCACCAAAAACCTAAGAAAAAAAATGTTTAGCTGAAAATTTTCGTTTTCCTTTTTTATAATTAAAATTAATTAAATTTATTTTTTTATTTTTTCCTTGGTGCTTTTGAAAACTACTGTTACTTGTAAATTTTTACCTCCTGAATGCACCAACTAGATTCACTTTCCATCGGAAAATATGAAGTTTAAAATCGAAGCAGTATTTCGACTACTATATACTTATCTTGTACAGACACAAAAAAAAATAATAATTAAGAGCACACATCATTATAAAATCAATAAATTCATTGCTCCGCTCTGCAGAATATAAAAAAGTTAAGTGTAAAAACATTTTCATTTTCATGAAGGTTTGAATTTGATCAATCATCAGAATTCTGAATTATTTTGTAGACATATACGACATATACCTATACTGACAGCCGACAGGGTATAGTCAAACATCAGACCGTTTTTGATCGCGTACAATAATTTATCATTAAATTCAAATTTAGCACGCATCAGCTATATAGCCTACAATGATAGCTACTCAATGACCAAGAGAAAATACTTATTTCGATTGAAGCAATAGCATTTTATTTTTGATTTTATTATTAAGTTTTTACCAAGGTCACCTACCTACGCGGAAAGGCATATTACCATCATGATTTTTTTTAGCAGTTTATAAATATTTAAAATAATTCCATCCAGTTTTATACAAAATGTGGATACTATATACAATAATCACAAGGTTAGCAAAAATAAACATATAAATGTACATAAAAAATATTATGTTGTAAATTACTTGTAATCAGTGGCGAAAATAGAATGACTTTGGGTACAAGCATTCCAAAAATCTTAACAAGTCCTCTCACTTCGTAACACATGAGTGATATACGTATATTTATATTATATATTTTCTCCTGATTTTAAAAGCCCCAGAATATGTTCTCTATTACACCACTGGTTGTAACAATTATTTAATTTTTTCTATTATCTCATATCTACTATTAATTTTAACATTTAGGGAGGTTCAGGAGGTGGAGTGACTGCAAAGGCGCAACTGCCAACTAGGTTCAATATAATCTGGAAGAAGTGGCTAGAATTATATAAGTTACACAGACTCACAAGGACATCTGCACCCCCTCAATATATGTACAAATCACACGACATTAAAATAGTAGACACACTATAGTTCAGTGACGCCAAATAGGGCGATACATGATAAAGGATCCAGATTCCAGATCCCTATTTTCGAACTTATACGTGTATAATATATAAAGCATAGCTATTTTTTGGCTAAAAAATATAAAATATGTGTACAAGTTCAACGATTTGAACGTTTATATATTTAACCCCTTAAAGTGTATTAACATTTATTTAACAATACAGTAGTTTATAAAGATAACTATCAACTTTGGTTTGCGAATTAAGATAACATATGTCATAACTCATAACTCATAGACTATAATAGTCCTTAAAAAATGGTTTTATAAAAATATAAATTAGATGTAATATTGGATCTATAGTATTCATTACACTTGTCACTTGGACCAACATTTTTACAAATTGTTTAAGTTGATAGATTAATTATTAACATTTTCAAATCACCATAGTCCCCTATTATCCAAATCCATTATCAAGGACCTATATCCTTAGTACACAAATTTAAATACTGAACTCAACAACTATTTGTTTGAAATTTGATTCTGATATGAGGACATTTTCGGATAAATTATTCTCTAAATAATTTGCAGAAGACAATGGAGGGGGTTTCTCATTTTAAAAACAGAAGTTTGTTTATCTACAGAACACTCTTTAAGCTTTACAAAAAACTTGAGAATTTTAAAATATGGTAATTAAGTACCTATATTTAAAACTTCCATAATCAGATTTTGGATATCTAAATTATTGAAGAAAAAAGAGTTTAATCACTAACCATCCTTAGTGATATACTGATATACAATCCTGTATATACCTACTGTATATTATTTACAAATTTTAAATTAAATTAATAATTAATTTAAAATTATTATATTTTACTATATCATTGTTCTACAACTTTCTATTGTCACGTGCTATTGACGCATTCCACACTCTTTCAATATTGACGGTAACTGCCAACTAATAATATACATATTATACTGCAACAGTGCCACTGCGATTTTAAACAGCGCCTATATAAGGCTAAACTGATAGGAAAGTGATAACTGATAACGTATAGATTTTCAATTTTGTCATTCATGTACGTAAACAACTATAATACATAACGCTCATATATATAAGTACTTTACATAGATTCGACTACAAGTTGGTCGGGTTGGACCTTGGACGGAAAATATGTGCATTTATTTGAACTATAATAATCGGAGGGAAAACGCCGATTTATCTATCCACATACTCGGCAAACGGCAAGCGCATGTGAACGGTCGGAATGGCGCTTACGGGGTCAACTTTGGTAAACAAGAACATGTCATGCGGAAAATATGCAAACAATTCGGGGTCGGACGTGGCCGTGCGGGCAAGCGGGGGCGCTCTATTTTTGTCGACGCATTCTTTGCGGCCTCGCGGCGGCGGCGGCGGCAGAGGTGGCGGCCACATGAATCGCGCCAAAAATACGAAACACCTATTGCACCGCCGCCGCACCGTTCGTGGATTCCGCGTATGTACAGATATAATATACTATACGAATTTCATATTATTATAGTGTTGGTCGCCGCCGCCGCCGCCGAGCAATAAAAGCTCCCGAGACCTCTGCCCGTACGGCTCTCCCCCGCTCGACGAATTCCATTCACGGCAATCGTCACGAAACATTCCTTGCCGAAATCCAGTAACCTAAATAATTACAATCTTAATATAAATATACAAGACATTGTAACCGCGTTAATGCGTTATGATCTTTCGTTATATGTTGAGACGTTTGGAATTTAACGTTAGGACTCCGCGCACCTATGTCGAAGAAAAAAGGCATTAACAACGTCCGCGCCAGGGCTTGTTTCGAGTACGTGGGTCGCAGAGATCCGCACAATGAAGATAATATATTGATTATAATAATACATTGTGTTGTACTTAATATTGATTATAATAATACATTGTATTGTCTTGCCTAAAAATAGTTTTCAATAATTTAGTAGGTAGATTATAAAATCTATTCCTCGGCTTTACGAGTTACTTGTTAGGTATACGAATAAATGGCAACCAAAAAAAAAAACCACGAAGAAACAACGAAAAAAAATCATAGTACTAATAGGCGCAACTAGGGCACCCCCCCCCCCCCACTATAATGGGGGGTAGCCAGTATAGGTATACCTTCTTATATTATACTATATAATGTGAGCTATATGAAGTAAAAAATATGAATAAAATGTAGATATGTATTACTATTATATTAAATCGTTCTATTGTAAACGATTTTGAAACAGAAATATTCGAGAATACGAAAATACAGATTCAAACCAAAATCAACTTACCTATAAAACAACGAAACTACGTGAAATAAAAGTTGTTAAAAACTTGTTCAATTTTTTTTGTATTATTATTTTTTTTTTCAATCTATATTCAATAATAAGTAAATTGGATAAATATAAGAGTTTTTAACATGGGTTCACATGACGAGAAAATATCATTTTTCTATTGGTTTTATTAGTTATATTATAAAACACTTTACAGGCACAGTTCAATTGGTTCTCTACTTTCAAAATCGGAATCCTAAATTTACATCAACATGTTGTTGAATGTATATGAATACTATCTACTACATATTATGTACATTGTGCCTCTTATCAGTTATTCAAATTCACAGAACAGAATAACTATTCATGATAACTTAGACAACACCATGTCGTTTTTATTAGGTATTTCCATCGTTGAATATATAACAACAGAAATTTACATTTGACTGAATTCTATGCAAAAACCGTAAGTGTAGATGTAATGAGTGCAACCTCAAGTATTATACTATTATAATGAACTACTTTTGATCAGGACCATATTTGGTTGATTAATTTTGTATAAATTATTGCATCGATGTATAATTTGACAATAAAAGAAACTATGTCTTTAGATAAATACCTTAGTTATTTGAATGCTTACAATATTACTATTGAATATTATTGTATTTCACTACGTTTTATTATCTATTTTATTCATTTATTTATTTATTTTTTTTCTTATCTTATGTTATGTTCTTGATATGTTTATTTAATATTGTAATTGCATGAACTCTCACCTCCGGCACAGCCTTTGGCTTGGGAAGTGATCCAACAAAAATTTGTCTTTTAGTAATTTAACTTGTATATATAGTTTGTTGGAGAATTAATAAATATTATTATATTATTATTATATCTCAATCCACAGAATAAATTAAAATTAAATAAATTTTATAAATTTATTCTTTGGTATGATACTCGGAAGTCGGAATACATAGAAACTATATTCAAGTTTTTTTAATAAAATTATTCAACCCTTCTCAACATGCATAACATAATATTAAACATAACGATAACACGCAGTTAAAATGTTACAATACTAATAATTTAACTTCCTAGTTATTCCGCGACATTACAGGGTCAAAATTATCGGTGGAGGTCCAAATAATAGTAATAATTATAGTTATTATTATTATTATTATTATGATGATGATGAATTACGATATTATATGTACCTACATCAAATGAACGCAACAGTGGTGACTGGTGAGAGTCGGTCGAATAACAAAAACAAAAGTTTAAAATAACAATAATAACAATAATTATTATTATTATTACAAGAAGAAAAACATCAACAACCGCGGCGGCGTGCATTGGTCCGCCCGAGCGCGCGGCGGTCGTCGGCCACGGCGGCTCGGCGTCGCGATCGGAGGAGTGAGTATTATAAAAGCTCGTGTCCATCCGCATTCTCGAATGAGACAGCCGACTGCGGACACCATGGCCAGCACCGCAGTACTACTGGGCAGGTATTCGTCGCGGTCCGCGGATCAGCTGCATGACCGATGCAATAACAGGGTGCCCGTCAACGGCGGCGGGGCCGCAATCGTTCTCGGCAGATCGGACTTGTGAGTAACATTACAAAAATACTATTATAATACACCCTGAGGAGTGTTTCCCGCCAAAAAATAAATTATTTGAAAAAAAAACCAGAACCAAATTATGCGAGTGTTTTTTGGGTTGTAAGATTTTGATTCCAATTGAACGATATCAACATAATATTATTGTATTAATAAGATCGAATAATAATATGATGTTATTTTTATTACCCATATAGATTTAGCGTGTCTCCCATTTGTCCAGGACTGGCCCTCTGTGGCGCTTTGTCCATTTATACGGACAAAGAGACGGTGGCCGCGCTCCGGCCAACGTGCCTGATCAATTGCGCCGGCGAGCTGCCCGACACGCCTTTACCGGATACAGTGCACAGGTACCACAAGGTACCAGTGGCGGATACCGTGGTTACCGACCTCGGACCACACATGGACACGGTTACCGATCTCATACACCAGGTAAAATATACCTAAGTAATGCCTACCTACCCTTATTGTTCATATTGATACTGCATACGAATAATTTTCAACGATTCAGACCAAAACACTCTTCACAATTCTACAACTTCTATAGCTGCGTAAAGTTTATAACCTATGTTGTATTTATTTATGAATGCAAACTATACTCTGTCCAGCGAAAGTATCAATATAAATGTAAAATATAATTTATCGCACGTTATAATACATTAATACATATTATAATTTATACAATATGGATACTGATAATGGATTACATTTATAAACAAGCCCAAAACTATTATAGGAGGATTTAACGTCAACATTTTTTAAACGTTAAACGTTTACGATCTTAAATAATAATATATTAACGTTTTAAACAGCATTTTTATTATCCATGACCTATGTATATTTTTTTATTTTATGAGAATGAAAAACCTCCAATGAAAAAAATATGTGATTATGTCATACTACATATCTAAAAATAGAGTTGTAACCATTTAAAAATATGAACTCCGAATGGAGTTCCAGTTCGACACCAAATTAATAAATTTATATCAAATAGCTGATGAGTATACATTTTTTAGTGGGAACGATATCCAAGTGACTGAGTCATGTACTCATGTGTCATACAATTTGACATACCTAACATAATATTTTTATCAATTTGATAACTTTCAATTTAGTTAATAATAATAACAGTAATACGATTCTGCTACCTATAATAATAAAATTAATTGTCTATATAACAACAGCATTGTTATCTATTAGTTATTACTTATTACCTATCACCTATGTAATAGTGTAAAATGGAATACATAATATATACTGCAATAATTTTACGTACTTATTATGATTAGGTAAATTTATTCATTTCAGAAAAATAAATGTTAATTAATATTCCAAAAAATTTTATTTTAATTTGATAACAATTCCATCTATATTGTCCTATTATGTCTTTTATAAATTATAAATATAGAATAACACAGGTACATAATATATATTATTGTTTAAGTGTTTCGTAGTTAAATTATCATTGAATACTTAAATTATTTTTCATGTAAAAAATGATTGCACAAGTTAACAAAAAAAACAACTATAAAATAAACTAAAACTATTTATAATACATTTTATATTTTAACACTATTGACTATAGAAACACTATCAAATAGTTATAAGTTTAAACGTTAACTATCCCATTTATTTTATAAAAATATTTATTCAATCATTGAACAGGAGTCGAATTAAAATGTAATATAAATTACCAAAATTACCTAAACGGATATACCTATACATAAACAAAAATATGTGCACATACGTGATACATTTGCGAGTATCGAATATAGGCCAGGGAACACGTAGGATTAATCGCTTGGCGCCCATCCCGGTATGCAATTCCTATGGGCCGTTGGCCCGTCAAACAAGCATGAAAGAAAACGCACTGAAAACCGGAAAATAAGCTGTTGTCAGTTAAAAAACAGAAATGACTGTCAACGGTATTTTGACAAGTTTCTGCCAGAAACTTTAAAAAAAATGAAAACCAAGAGGTAGATATTTATAGGATTGCGACCAGTAAAAAACAAACATTGGGTGTATTTATAAATGCATAGGAATAATCGGCAGGTAACACTTGTACGCCAGCTTAATTTAGAAGTAAACAACAGACATGTTGTAACCGTGAGAAACGGAAGGTTCTATTTCCGTTTTAACCATCTGACGGAACTTCAGGATGTCCAAAAAACAAAACTATTAGTTATTGCAAAAATTATTTTTAAATAATATACTCCATAATTCCAACAGTTACAAATTACAACATTAAATAATATTTTTAATTCCGGAATTATATATAAAAAAAAACACATTATTAAATGAAATAAATATAATATTTATAACTGACAACACATTCGATATGTTTTATTTTGTTGTAGGAATATATGTCTGGAGGTACAACATTAATACATTGTGCAGCTGGAGTGAGCAGATCGGCTGCTTTTTGCATAGCATACTTGATCAAATATCGTGGGATGACCATGAATAATGCATATCGTCACGTAGCCAAATGCAGACCTTGCATAAATCCAAATGCGGGATTTATAAGTCAGCTAATAGAATTCGAAGGAAAATTTAGAGAGGAATAGCAGTGAATAAAATAACGTTTATAATAGGTAGGTAGGTACACAAAAATCATTCCAAACATAAATTATAATTATTGTATTATATAACTAGCATTGTAAGCTTTTTAAATGTTTTAATTCCTATAAAATTATAATTTTTGTTTAAAATTTTAAAATTGTAAATGTTATATTTCTATCATTGTATAATTTATAGGATGTGTATTATATATTTTATCCTTAAAGTACCTATTATTTATAATAAATAATAATGTAAATATACAACATTTAAATAATCTAGAATACAATTTCAATGTACTCACGTTTTATATTTTTTATTTCCTTCACATGGTTCGTTACATGTTTCACATAAACAAAAGATTTACACGACACTTAAATACTATTAATCAAAATCCTATACATTTTAAAATAAGAACTATCCATTTAACTGATTTGACAAATTCTAAATCATATCTATTATCTATATTAGATACATAATATTATCGTTTCGCTCCACTCACCTTAGTGCAAACTATATATCAATATCAATACAATACGTATACCTAATATACCCATGATATATAAAATCAAAAAATAAAAAGACCTTGCTTATTGCTTCGCTCAGAATCTAAAAATGTATCCAAATATATTATACCAATTTAGAAGGTAGGTAGATACTTATTCTAAAATTATATTGAATAGGTACCTACTCAATGATTGCTGTAATGTACAATATTATGTACATTTAAAAAGAAAAAACTTTTTAATGCTGTAAATGTTAATTAAATTATTATATTTAAACATTAAACACTCGTTCTTTTTCTCCTTTTAGAACTGTCGACGATGGAGTATTTACACCGCAGTACTCCTCTAGTTCTTTAAACTGGGCTAAACATGTATTATTAATAGGTATTATAAGCTTCCCATAGATAATATGTGTATGTACCTATATATAGTATATAGTACATATTAGTGATTGGCACAGCCTAGTGCTTATACTAATTAGAAATAATCAAATACTTAATGACCCAATAGTTATTGGTTAAATCGAGTATATCGAATAACTTATAAAGTGACGATATAGTACCTAGGTCATAAATCATAATATTATATTAAGTTGAATTAAAAAAAAAACTAAATTCCTATTAGGTATATAAATTGAGTGGTACATTAACATACATTATTTAACATATAGTAACATTATCAGACAAGCATTTAATATTTAAATCAAAGGAATAATATACCCTTTATGGCTATTATATTTATGTATGCATTATATGCAGGCAGTGTCGATTAATATTAATTATTAATCATTAAAAAACGGTTTTAATTTTTCTAAGTGAAATAGTTACGTTGGTATGCTATAAATCGCGATTTGCGTGTACGACGGTCCACGGTACGGTTTTTTCTACAGTTGATTTTTAAGTTTTGGAACAATTGATAATATTTCTTTAGGTCGATAAGATGTAGATTAAGACGTGTATGTGACAATAGTTGTGATTCGTAAGCAAATATCAAAGAAGTACCTAAGTATTCAAATGCTGCATTTTAAATTTGAACAAATGTTTACATTTTGGATGGCTGTAGTCCGAAGTATAGAGCCCCGTGTTATTTTCAGCCAGTACTGTGGAACGGATAATTAGATTTGCCGGAGGTTTTTTGCACCATATTACAAGAAACACGGGTGATGAGAACAAGATTCACTAAAAAAATTGCTTCACTAGATTACGAAATTCATACAAACAATTTAAGGTAAAATTTACTGTTGGACTATGAAGTGCTATATTCATCTTTCATTTTAATTTCGGTACATTTTGGCAATAGTCGTGTAGTTTGGGCGTAGTGAATGGTATTTCAGTGACGGAAAATAACATTCCATTACGTCACTGTTGCACGCAAATTTTTTGTTCATGTCTAATCAAATGAACGGCAGATATATATACTATATACCTATACGTAATGGCTCGGTACATTTACCCTATATGTCATCCATAACGTCAACTTAAATGTAACACGGTATTATTTTTTTTATATTAATTTACTTAACATTAAAATCAACTGTGAGTGGGATAATAGGTAATAATAGTCAACGGATTATGACAATGTTCCGTCAAAAAATGTTTATTACCTACGCCAACAACATATCATACTAAAGTATTTTTAGAGAAATAAAATAAATAAATGTAAAACATCTGAATAAACGTTTTATTTAAATTCAAAATAACTATTTTAAAACCTTTGTTTAGTGGAACGGCCAATGTAGTTTTAATGATAGAATATAGGTAATAAATAATTATTATTGAACGATTTTATAAAAATAAAATATATTAAAATTCAACAAAAATAATCGAATAATAACTTAACTTAACTGTATAAAATATCATCAGTTTTAATATTCAAAATAGAACCTAATTATAAATTGAATAAATAAAACTAAAATATAATATATGAAAATATAATTCTTATCATCAATTAATGTTCCAAATTAGCCAATCAGCCAATCATAAAAGTTTAGACTATTATTTGTTACATCACACATTTGATTGTCAGTTGAAAATTAAGTACTTATTATTATACCTATTAAATAAATCATCATAATTAATAATTATTGTGTTAGTACCTATACATTGATAAACTATAATATGAATACGAGTATAAGATAAAATAAAGTAGGTAATTGGTGAGTATTAAATATTATTTAGATTGGAGTATTGGAATATATTTACATTCCGCAATAGTTTTTAAATATCCAATTATTTATTTTTTATTTATTTACTATAATTGTCTATAAGGCCTAGTTCACATGAGAGCATTAAACGCGCGTTTGGCTAACGCGCGTTTAGAAAATTTACACAGGATGAATGACGACGCGAGTTAACGCCTTGCAACGCGTCGGAAAGCTGTAAACGCGCGTTAAAATACAGCTGCATTCATTATTGTAAACGCGCGTTTGGCTAACGCGCGTTTAACGCTCTTCATGTGAACTTAGCCTTAATGATGCAAGGTAGGACGGAACGGGAATTCGATACCGATGGGCTAGCCAGTCGGGTCGCGAAGTCCGGACCGCGAAATTCAAGCTGTCGGCTGATGAGTGGAGACTCATTTGCGCACATATTAATAATTTTTTAAATTTACGACAACTCATTTGCGCACAAAATAGTAAACAATGAAAACCAGCTTTTAGGTACAGTTTTGGGTGTACAGAGTGTCTTAAGCTGTCCAACACGTTACACGTTCAATATTATTGATATCAATCATCAATGATCACCATCATCACCCGTTATTGGAGTATCTTCAATATAGCCTTATATAGTCTTAAAGCATAACGTGATTTCACATCAGTTCTTATCTATCAAAAATGGCATTAATACTCGCCAAGTACACTAGTCGTGTGGGACAAGCTTTAATCTTTATTATGATTAATTTATTATTAATGATTGTACCTAATTTATTGTAATTTGACAAAATTTTAATGACTTGTAAAAATGATTGTACCAATTATGTAATTGACAAAATGATGCACCACCGTAATTTCGTAATTTTTTCATAACTTGATTTAGCTAATCCCCCACCCCTCGGACCTGAACCCGAACAGAAACGTATCATTACCACACGAACATTTTCTAGGAGAGTCTGTCAGGTCGCGGGGTTGTAATGTTAGTGATATTATTGTAAACTTACTTGTTTTGTTTATTTCAATAAACGATGGAAACCAGAGGAGAAGTAAATGCGGGTTTCCACTATACACGTAGGTACGCGTGTACGTGCATACAAACCCTTTGTTTTGATTGGTTGGTTAGGTTAAGTAACCACACGATTAACCACGATACCGTGTTGTTGGACATAGCTGAACAATTTTCGTGTACACGGCAAACGTGTATAGTGGAAACCCGCCTTTATGGTAACGTGGTTCCTACTCTAGTTCTTGATACCACGGAAAAGAAAAAAAAGGTACCACTCTATTTACAGATATAACAAATAAATACATTTATCAATTGATGTATAACGGGCAACAATGTAATAGCATAATATGATGTGGCTATTGAAATGTGTTTGTTTGTCGGCTATTTACCATAGATATTATAAGTTTAAATTGATTGTTATAATCTATATAACCGAAGCATGCATTCATCATTAGCAGAGTGGCGCAGTGGAAGCGTGCTGGGCCCATAACCCAGAGGTCCGTGGATCGAAACCATGCTCTGCTAAACATATTTTTTGAAATACGTATAAGTAATGTACGACGAAGGCTCTACAATTTATGTGGAAAGTAAACCAAATTATGGAATGTATTTAATTTTTTTGTTTCCGACATTTTCGTTTTCTTATATTCTCGCCGGAGCTTTGAATGTATTGATTGTGTCTGCGAAATTTACCTACCCGTATGCAAAAAAGTTTTTAGAATATGGTTTTTTGGAATCTTGTGATATCTTGTCATGTGGATATTTTGTTATACCGATCTGTATATTTGGATGAGTTTCGGAATACTAGGCTGTTCAAATTCGTTTTTCATCGTTTATATAATATACTATAATAGATACCTACTGAATAACCTGGTGCAGTAGTGCAGATTGATTTAAATCAATTTAAGTCTATTATACCGACCACATTATATTATAGGTGCTTGCACCTACTTTAATTGATATATCAATTTAAAGAGGGAACAATTTAATAATTTTTCTTTGATTTTATACATTCTACATACATTTTATTTGTAAAAACGGGTTTTACTAAAAATATTGACAAGGTAGGTACTACAGTTGATTTATTTTATAGATTGAGAAATTCGTTTAGCTTATAATATTTAAAAGATATTATAGTTAATTAATAATTTGATAGAAATGATAGAATTAATTTTTTTATAAGTAGGTAGGTATAATTTATTATTGTAAATTTCTTAGGTTAGCTCATACCTGCAGCTAGATACGTATTACATACGTATTGTACATTATTTTTAATAAAATGTAAATAATATTGAAATACTCCGCTGTTCAAATTCGTTTTTCTTCGTTTATACCAATAGATAC